GGTATTAGCTTGAGGTGGTTAAAGTTTATTTTGGGGGGAGTTTGTTCCAATGGTTTTGCTGTAGAAAGTGTTTCAAACTCTGCTGAAATGTTGCTGAAAAGCATGGTGCTGGTAACAGTTCAACAGTGCGTGGCTGCTCATTCTTGCCTACTTTACTCTCTCTGAAGCAGGTTAGCATTGAAGGTGTTATCGAAAAGCCTGCATGCATGTTCAGTTCTTTGTTTCTTCTCCCCCTCCCTCTGCCCTCCCCCCCTTTTGCTTGCTCACCCTCTTTTGTTCAGTATGTGTAACTTGAAGCTAATTTGTACTACTGGATATCTGACTGGAGCCACAGATGCAGAATCTGTATTGTTCTTACTGAAACACAGCATGGAATTAACATTAAACTTAAATAAAACAAACCTAAATTAAAAATGCCAAAAAAGAAATCAGAATACAGCTAAAAGCAAGGGATGACTGTTCATCACAGGTAGGAACAAAGGTATGTAGTCCTGTCCTTAGCGGTGTCCTCAGACTTCCGCCATCTGTAGACTAGTCAGCCCCTGAAGTGACTAGAGAAGGGCTGATATCTTCTGCTGGCATTTGTGTGGCTTCCCTCCAAGTCAAGATGATCTTTTAAAAAAAATTAAAATTCAAAACTTCAAAAAAAAAGAAGATGATCTTAGGGCAAGGGATTTAGCTCAGTGGTTTTGCCACCTGCTTTGAAAACTCAAGGACTCAAGTTTGATCTCCGGTACAAAAAAAAAAAAAAAAGATGATCTTAGTGTCATGATGAGGGTCTCTGGAACACCTCCACTATGATGTCACAGCCTTCTTTACCCAACTATGGTGGATCCACAGGGGGACTCCTTCCACTTAGACTGCTGTCGGGGTAGTCAAAATGACTGTTAGTGGACCCTTCCATTTGGGTTTAAGGCTGTTTTGTCTCCAGTCCTTTACACAAATTGAATCTCCCAGAGAGAAGTGGTGGAATGGACTAGAAATGCTAATCGGGGCTCTTTCTAAGGCCCAAGAGGCTATCTTTTGGGAGACTTTTCCTAGCTCAATCAATTATCTTTCTAAGGTAGCATTTCCTAATGTTCCTATAGGGTGTGCTGGTCCTCTCAAGCAGGGAGAGGCCTGACAAACAGAAGCTCATAGGGTGAATAGCCTGTTTTCTTGTGGGGAGTGCAATGTACGCAGAGAAGCACAATGGATAAGGCCTGGACCCAGGTGAGCCCAGTCTCTTAGCAAAGTTTTCCTAACCCCTCTTTTAGGGTACTATTCATCCTCTCTACCTTTCCTGAGCTCTGGGACCAATAAGCTACATGTAAATTCCAACTAATCCCTAATGCCTTTGCCACCCCCTTGGACCACTGCTGCCACAAAAGCAGGACCGTTGTCTGATCTTATGCGCAGTAGAAACCCATAGACATCTAAGGCTGAATCATCTAGATGGCCCTCAGGATGGGGTGGAGGAGCCAGGGATTAAGCTGGGCCAGGGATTTAGCTCAGTGTTGCCACTGCCTGCCTTGCAAGTGCAAGGTCCTGAGTTCGATCTCTGGTACCAAATTTTTAAAAAGAGGTGGAACTTTGGCAGGTCTTTATCTGTTTGGAAGGGCCCTTGTGGCAACCAGAACTCAGGAAAGGGGTTCCCTCAATCAAGAGGGTGGACAAAGAACTAGTTATAACTCTGAGTCTACATAAGAGAACTGATTGCTCACTTCAGCACACATATATTGATATACTGAACATAGATACATAGAACATGATACGCAGATACATATACTGATACACAGAACTGGTCTGGGTGGCTGGGGCTTTCTATCATAACCTGATAACCTGTCATATTTTTTGGACTAAAGTTTTTTTTAATGAGCTTTAAGGGGGCCATCTAACCTGATTGGCCATTCTATCTCATAAAGGGTTTTAAGTTTCCCTGGAGTAAGTTTCTGACCATAATCTCCAGTAAGTCCCTTCTTAAAGTGTATTTACTATGGTTCCCACCCATAGATTTTCCTCCCACAGAAATTAATGACAAACAAGACACCAGTTGCTTTGTCTGTCATTGGCCAGTCTCCTCACGGAGATATTTCAGGTTCCTCTTAGCATTGGCAGGCCAGTGATCCTGGCTGTCACCACAGTGTTGCCCTAAGCCATATGAGGTAGCCCTAGAACAGCAGTTTGGGACTCCCCACTTTCTTCGGCCCTGTGCACCCCAAATGGAGTCAGGAATGTGACGTCCATCTCATTCATACACAAACATTCACAGATTCAACCAAACAAATACTCCCACCCACCAACAGCAGCAGCCAACCCTGCCTTCTGGCAGCCTAAAGAGTTCTGGTCTCACTCCACCCTGGCAGTTACTCTGGGAACACAGGGGCTGATCATTCCTCTTTTGGAGACTCCTTCTTGGATCTCCTCCTCAAAGTGGGGACCCTTAATCTTATGGTGATTCAGATGTCTGCCAAATGTTGCTTGGTCCCCTCCATGTGAGCCCTCGTCAGGCAGCCAGCCAGGGTGCCTCAGGCAGTCATACAGGGAGACTCCCTCACAACAGAAAACACTGCCAACACATGTTCAGCAGGGGCTCGAAGCCCAGCTGGCCAGCTCTCTGCTTCACCTGGCGAGAGGCAATCAGCCACAGATGACTGTACTGGACCCCAAAACCTCCTAGCTGGCTTCCCAAATGAAGCGTGACCACTTGTGGGTCTCTGGACAGATCATCAACCACATGAGTAAAAGCAAAAATTGGCTTTATTGCCGGCAGCTTCAAGGGATTCAAATCACCTCAAAAACATCAAACAGAAGTTTACTCTCATTTTTATACCTTTATGTTTCTATGGGTGGAGGAGACAACAACCGTAATCACTGGGGAAACAGCTATCAATCTAAACATAATTACATAAGCAAAGGGGCAACGAAGGGGGGAACAGGAGGTTTGGCAGGACTTTCTGAGATTGATTTGCTCTCCTGAGTTTGCATTACAATAGTGACTACAGGTATAATATATCTTTCTCAGAAAGCATAGTTACACAGTTAACCCATAGTTGCCCACTTTTTTTTTTTTTTGGTACTGGGGATTGAACTCGGGTCCTTGCGCTTGTGCAGCAGGTGGCAAAATCACTGAGCTAAATCCCCAGCCCAGTTGCCCACTTTTATACCAGGAGATAGTTTTTGCCCTCATTTTGAGACAGAGTCTCACCAAATCACAAGTTGCCAAAGCTAGTCTCAAACTTCTGATCCTTCTGCATGCCTTTGCCCCCAAAGTGCTGGGATTACAGATGTGCACCAGACCAGACAGGAATAGTGTCTTAAGGATGCCTTTCTCACTCCCAGTCTTGGGACCCTAGAGCCAGGATCAGGGAAATGGAAAAGCCAGAGACTATGTATCTGAACTATACAGATTACATGCTAACAACATACAAAGGCACCTGTGGGGCCATGTCAGGGGCTGGCCAGTCAGCAGGATGGTCATTGTCACCCAGGTCTCTCACCACACACCCTGGAACCATCATGAGACTAGGCCTGCTTCCCTTACCCCATCCAAGCTCGTTAGGTGGTGGGTCCCCTGCCAAGGCTCTTGGTCTGTGTGTGTCTCTCCAACACACACACACACACACACACACACACACACCTTGGCAGAAGCTGATGGGCCTCTGTGTGGGGCCTCAGGAGCTGGTGAATGGGCTTCGGGTCCCTGCTGCCACCAAAGTGTCCCTCTCACCAGTCCTGCTAGAGTTGTCACTGCCCCCTGCCATGGGCTTCCAGGGTCCCTTCCCACCTGTTGAGGCCTTGGCAGTGGAGAGGACCCAGAAGTCTTTCCCATTCTGGAGCAGACCCAGGCCTGGCTTCCAAAGCCTGTGGTAATAAGGGATCCCCAAACCTGACAAGGCAGCTCCTGAGACTCTCTGACCTCCAGAGCCCACCCGGAGATCTGTCCAGGGAAGAATGGGAAAGAAGAGTAGAGTCCAGATCCCTGCACCCTGGGGTCCAGGAGCAAGTGCCTGCCCCGTGTGGAACTGGGGAGGGAAAGAGACCTCAGGGCCTTCTTGGTGCCCATCCTTTTGCTGGTGGCTTTCAGAGCCTGCCCTTGGGTTCCCTCCACTAAAGGAGAGTGAGGAAGTCAAGGAGGTCACCCTCCCACACACACTGTGGACACCAGATGTCCCTAGTCAGCTAGCTGAGAGCATCACTTACAGGAAGTAAGAGCCGAGTCACTGTCCTGTCTCCTCCTTGCCCCAGACATGTACCAGGCAGGGCCCATGACTTGTGGTTCCCAGCATGAAGGAAAGACCACTTCCCACCAGCCCTACTACTTCTCTGCCCTACTTGAGTCTTCTGGAATGAACCAGCCTCTCAGAAGCCTAGTCATGCGTGGTCCCAGGGAACACAGGTGGGTGACATTGACATTACATTTTGTGCTCAGCTAGAGGAATACCTGGCCCCTGGCCCAAATGTAGACAGGGCAGGATGACAAAGGAATGGGCCTCTCCAATGTGGTGTGAAGGCCACTACTAAGGGAGTAATTGGGACGGGGTCCTAGTCCAGCCTGGGTGTGCTGCAAGGGATGAATTTTTTTCTTTCTTTCTTTCTTTCTTTCTTTCTTTCTTTCTGTCTGTCTGTCTGTCTTTCTTTTTTGTTTTGTTTTTGAGACAAGGTATTCCTATGTAGTCCAGGCTGGTCTTGAACTTGTGGTGATCCTCCTGCCTCAGCCTCCTGAGTACTGGGATTACAGGTGTGTGCCACCATACCCAGCTGCAAGGGATGAATCTTGAAGGACCACTTGGACTTCTCTCTGGCTAAGCATTTCAGAGCCACAGCAGCTATGGTCCTGAGGAGGGACCAGGTGTTCGAGGAAGGAAGCTGGAGGACCAACTGGACATAAACGTTCTGTGTGTGACCTGGGATTTCTGGGAATGTGGGAGAGGAATGTCCCTTCATGGAAAGTCCAGTTTGTGGTGGAGGAGTGGGGTTCCAGAGAGAAGTTGGGCGTCCTCAGAGCACAGATGCAGAGACAACTAAGGTCCTAAGGTCTGTCTGACTCTGATTATCCCTGAGGCTCTGGCCAGGTATCCCAAGACCTATTGAGGCCTGGACAGAGGGATGCTGGGAAGAGCTGGGCCCACGCACTGAGAGGCTCTGGGAAGATGAGCTACAGAGTAAAGGTCACAGGAACCTGGGCAAAGTCCCCTAAAAAGACTGTCAGCAAAGTGGCTGTTGAAAAAGGCAGTAAAGGAGGCTTCTGTACTGAGGAGACAGGACAAAGAAAAGGGAAGAACCAGAACAGGTCAGTGGACAGAGGGGAGTAGGAAGGGCAGGGGGAAGCCAGGGAGGCTGGGAGGGCCTGGGGAAAGTAGCAAGTGTGGAGGCTGAGGAGATGGTCAGGCCATGGAGAAGGATGTGGAAATAGGACATGGTGGCAACACAGAGGATCCAGCAGTGCCTGTGGGCTTTCTATTTGCTGAGGAAAGAGCCTGTACTTCAGTTAAGCCAACAGGCACCAAGAGCTGGGGTTTCTATAACCCCTTCCCTTTAGCCCAGGACCCAAGAAGATCCACAGAAACTCTGGAAACTACCGGAAATATGAAACTACCTTTTCCTCCCAAGCCCTCCACTCCTGCCCCCTGCCTCCCACAGCCAGGAGTCTGAGTATGACTGAGGTTTGAGAGGTGCAAGAGGCCATGGAGGGGGAGGTGAGCCAGGTCTTGATGGGACTGGATAAAGCTCAGAATTTGGGGTGGGGACCTCGGGACTGCAGAGGCTTCCATGGGAGGGGGCGTGGCCTGGGGTGGTGCTGGACTGAGGTATGCCAGGCTGCACCTTCCGGAGCCAGAGACGTGAAGGGAACGTGGGGTGTGTGAGTGTGGCTATGTGTGCCTGTGGGTTTCTGGAGCATATGGGTCTCTGGGCTTGTTTGCAGGTGTTTATGTAAGTGTATATCTGCGTAGGCGTGCAGTGTGTGTCTCTGTGTGTAACGGTGTATGACTGTCATGTGTTTGTGTATCTACTTGTGTGACTATGTATGTGTGCATCAGTAGTGACTGTGCATGTCTGTGTGTCTACATGTCAGTGAGGTATGTATCTTCGTGTGCCTGTGTCTCCGGATTTTTCTGTGTGTATCTGTGTAACTATGTGCCTTCATATGCATTTGTGCACCTGTGAGAGACTACATATGACCTCATGACTGTGTGCCCCTGCACGGCTCTGTGAGTGTGACCGGATGCTTGGAAAAGCCCATGCAGGTGGCAAGTATTAGTCAGCATGATTGTGGCACTAGATTCTTGAACTTCCTGTGAAAGGAGTGTTGTAGGGTGATTTCAAAGGGCCTTTGAATGAGCCCCAAGCCTTATCTTTAAAGCTGTGGGTCAAGTGTTAAGCTGGTATATGTGAGCTCCTTGGCGACATTCTGTCCTGGTCTCCTCACGTTGGCCTCTGCAACAGTGCTGACAGTAAACTTGGATTGTTTGTGTGACATTGCAAATGACTGTACTGGTATGCCAGAAGCTAGGTCATAAATGTTTGGAAATGTATCCCGGGTTCCTTTGAGGACGTTGGGAGGGACTTCACTGACCCTAAAGGTCTGCACCATTCTCTGATCAGTTAATGAGTGGTCCAAGAGGCCCCACCGGCTGACTGCCAGGTGCTGTAAAAACGGAAAAGAATTCCACCCACCTGCTTGATGTCATTGCTCATTGCTCACCCCACCCCTTGCTCCCCTCCCTGTAACCTCCTACCAGGCTATCTTTGGGAAGTGGGTAAAAGGGGAGACATCAGGCCAATGTATGGACCGCTGGCCACCTCCTAGGGAGTGGTGCCCCTCTGTGATACCTGTGCTGGGGCATGAGGAAGAGACAGTTCCAGCCACCCAGAGAAGGTGGCAGGTGGACCAAGGGAGGGCTGACAGCCTGCCAAGAACTGCGCTCCATTGTGTTTCCTCCCTAGGCAGTGGTCACTAAGTGACCTCAAGGCTTGGTGGAGCCAGTAGCAGAGGATGCCCCGGGCCCTAGAGCACGCAGATGGCAGGTGGTCCTGGATGGTACTTCTGGCCTCCATGGTGACCCAGGGCCTCACTGCAAGCTTCCCCATCTGCACTGGGGTCTTCTTCACTGATCTGCAACGTGAGTTTCAAGCCACCAACAGCCACACCTCCTGGTTCCCCTCCATCCTGGGGGCCATGGTCCAAGCTGGAGGTGAGCACCCTGGGGAGCGGGACAGGGAGGGATAAAAAAGAGCCTGGGGCCAGAGATTTAGCTCAGTGATTCTGCCGCCTGCCTTGCAAGTGCAAGGTCGTGAGTTTGATCCCCAATACCAAAAGAAGAGCTTGGGGTGGGGAACTAAGCCACAGCCCCCTTGGCCTCCTGAGGCCATGGGCTTTGCCTCCTGGGTGGATTTCTATGATTACCTGATTTGATTTCACCAGAGACAGTTCCCCTGGCTGGTATCCAGCTGGACTGAGTTGTGCTCCCAGGAGGCCGAGCTGGGCTGGGAATGCGGAGAGTGAGGAGACCATGAGGTGCAAAGCCAGGCACAGTGCTAGACTCCTCTCAGTGGCCACTGGAGGACGGATCCAGACCCTAGACAAACACTGGGAGAAGCCAGTGTTGGGGCCAGGAGAGCCAGGCTCTACCACTTTCCAGTTGGACAATTTCTTGGAACCCAATTTCTCCCCCACTCTGCAATACGGAAGTAATACCCTGCATCCTGCTCTACTCCCACATGGAAGGAGAGGGCCCCAGACCACATGGGCCCCAGTGTGCTGGGAGATAAGAAATCTATGGGCTAGCTGGTCATGGCGGGCCATACCTTTAATCCCAGCACTCTGAGAGGCTGAGGCAGGACTGCAAGTTCTAACCCAGCCTGTGCAACTTAGCAACTTAGAAAGATCTTGTCTCAAAATTTAAAGAAAGAAAGAAAGAAAGAAAGAAAGAAAGAAAGAAAGAAAGAAAGAAAGAAAGAAA